CACATCTACTGAAGTAATGGAGGTGATTTCATCGGACAGTCAGCCATTGTCAGTATTGGAGGACGAGGGATTTCATCAGCTCATTCTCCGATTATTAGACGTCCCTGCTACTGGCCTGTGACATGTTTATAATCCATTTTTAAGTCTTGCCCGCAGATCGATCTTTCCACAGAATAAAAGAAATAAGTAACGTCACTCCGCTAATCTGCGCTGGCATTTCCGATGAGGAACGCTAATCGTCAGCTTACGCCTGACCTGCTCTTTACTATAACACCTGTGTATCTGCCCCCTCTTTCTGTCACGCGGCGTAACGCACTCCTGTCATTTGATGGTACAGCTCATGGAGAAAATGGAGCCCCTGGTTTGATGCAACAGATCTTCCCACTCATGCAAACGTGGCAAAATCGGTGACATTGTAAGAATGAGATCGCATAGGGGTATGAATCACGATGACAATTCAAAAACAGTTAATGCTGCAGCCCTACATGGGCCCTGCAAAGCCCCTCGGCTGAGTGCCCAGCGCTACCTGCCTATAAGTGCTGGATGGATGAGTGGCAGAGGGTGGAGAGAACAGCCTTCTGAAAATCCCCATGCTGAGGTAGGGGCTGGGGGTAGGGTGGGTGATTAGCACTGTTGTATCACACCTCTGGGCTCCAGGTTTCAAATCTCCTCCTTGGTTCTACACGTGTGGAGCTTGCATGTTCTCCCTGTGTCATCATGGGGTTGTCTCCAGGATCTCCAGATCCCCCCCCCCCCCACAATTTAACGACAAGCTAAAGTGAGGGAGCCCTGCGGTGGGTGGGCACCCTGTCCTGGTTTATTTCCTGCCTGGCTCCCATCATAGGCTCCAGACGCCTGAAAACCTTGCACAGCATAAGTAGGTATTCAAGGTGGATGGATCAATGTGGTTATGCTACCACATATAGTCAATAGTTTGCATTGACTCGTGGTAAACATGCCTTATTCAAAAGAATTCAGTTCCAGTATGTGAAGTGATATTTGAAACCAATGGTAAATGGCACGTTGTCAGTCACCGCCTGGTTTAACACCCTTTCTGCGGGGCTAACGAAGGCCGTATTTGACAGTGCACACAAATGCCGTCCCCATGGTAATCAAAACCTCCCACTTCACCCACCACTAGCACTTTATTTTTAATTAATTGGTATAATTGAACAAAAGCTTCTCAAAGCTGGACTTCAGAGACCATCATTAGAAAGGCAAAAATCAGCATATGAAATGTGCTAATGTCCTGTTTGCATGTGTAGCTGCCAGCACGTGGCCATACATCAGATACATTAGTAACTCCATCATATTCTGCACCACAGGGGAAATTGTACAAGTCCATGAATAAATTCAGCATCACTGACTTTTGATTTAGCTCTGGAGGTGCTGTAGCAGCACCTGGATTTCTTTGGGTAACATCTAAAACCCAGAGCAGTGTTTCCCTTCCTGGAACCCTCAGGAACTCACAGCCGATCCACGTTTTTGCTCCCTTCCAGCTCTCTGCCAGATAGCCCACATTTTTGCAGCAGGCAGCTTGGAAGGAGCAAAAATGTGGACTGCGGATCCCCGAGGACCAGATTGGGAGACACTGCCCTAGGCAATCTCCAAGTTGATGATTTTGATTTCTTCTTGATCTTCTTGATTTCTTTCTTGCAACCACCATTCCTCCCCAAAGAGGAAATTGGAGTGACTCTATTGCTTTTTCAAAGATCTGGGATTTAGTGTCTCTCAGTCTTACTATCTTCACGCCGGCATACCAAATAGGGTTTGTATGTGTGTTACTGTGCTTGAGAAAAGGTTTCAGCATTAAAAATTCCTAGGGTCCATTCTCAGTGTGTGTTGGGTTGGAAAAAAGATTATGGGGGAAATATTACGGAGGTTTGACAGACTTTCCAAATGCTGTTCTTCACGTGGCCCAATGAAAATAAATTCAGGAAACGACTTCTGCCAGGATCATGTTTACCCGTTTGTGTCAATCAGTGATGGAAAAGCACAGAGACACATTCTACGACGTTTCCTGACAACCAATTTCCACTCCTGAGCATCAACCAAAATCCACCTACAGTTTTTAAAAGTTTCTACAGTTTTAATTCCTTGCATATTTAAGTCCAAGGTTGCACTTCAGCACGTGAGCAGATCTGTGATTTACAGTCCTCACAACAATTGTTACCGTTGTTACACATGTATCACGTAGGATCTCCCCTGTTCATACCTGAGATCCCCAGCCTAACTCAGCATGAAAGCCCTGGGACTGAGATGGCTTGTGCTGAGGACCATGCTGAGTTGGAAGGACATCTGTCTTGTCCTATGCCATCCACCACACCTACACTAAGACAGACTTAAACTGCTCCCCTTTTTACACTGTTGTCAAGAGCAGTGTTTCCCAATCCGGTCCTCAGGGACCCACAGACGGTGTACCAAGACTCCGGGAGCGGGGAGAGAGCAAAAACATGGACTGTTTGTGGGTCTTCGAGGACCGGATTGGATAACGTTGGTCTGGAGGGTGGTCCGGTGTCCCATTAGCAAGCTCTGTTTTCACTGGCTCTGTGTTTCTTGCAGTTCTTATGGCATCTTTGTGGTCATAACTATAAAGTCATAATAAAACAAGCTAAAAGATCTTAGACTGTAGTGTTTCCCAACCCAGTCCTCGGTGACCTGCGGACAGGCCAGGTTTTTGCTCCCTCCCCAGAAGCAGGGAGGTAGCAAAAATGTGGACCATCTGTGGGTCCCTGAGACCACATTGGGAAACACTGTCTTAGAGATCTGAACCCAGACCCCTCCTCTGCCTATAGCCACAGTCATAAACACTAGGGATTTCTATGATGCCCAGCACCAGCAGTAAACTGTGCTGTATATTTTCGTGAAGCGACTTTATATGCATGAATGTAAGAATGTGCTTAAAGTCACATATACTGCGAGTTAAATCCCTGCAGCTCAGCCGCAGAATCCGATCACGCTCAGCTCCAGATGATGCGCCTCTTATTTCGGCTTTTTCTGGTGTGATCCTCTGGAGATGCTGAGGGCAATACTCACTGCCCACTCTCACGTCTCTTTCATCCCGCTGCACTGTGTCTCCGTTCGCCATCCTGTCAACAGTGCCCAAGGCTACGGGCGGATTTTGTGGACAGCACTCTGGCACCTACGGGTTTAAGAATTACGGGCATCGGGGTTTTCAAATAGAACCTCACGTTGGGGGGTGGACATGAAACCAACCCCCCCCACGGTTTCTGAACGAAAGCTGCTTCCATGATGATGCTGCACAAACAGCTTAAAATCCCATCGCATCCAACCATACGCTCCAGGACGGCCATTGGCGGGCCTCAACCAGCAGGCTTGACAGGATGGCGGCAGGGGTTTCAGGATAAAAAGAGAAGGATTCCCAGCGAGAGAGGGATCCCGGCCTATTATACACGCAAGTCACATTCCTCCCGGAGCAGCCTGTTTGAGCTAAAGTCCAATCATTGCTTTTAATTAAACTGTAAGAGGCTTGAGGACACAGTTATTCTGGGGACTGATGCAGATACCGTGCTAAAGTGCTAGTAAAGAGTACTTCATCAAACAATGACTAGTGGGCAATTAGTGGGCTAGCACAGGATTATGGGACATAGCCAGTAGCACCCACCGTGGTATTGCTTACGAGAGGTAGGTTTGCAGTGGCAAGCCTTATGTGCCTGCTCTTCATCTACAGTCTGGCAGAAAAAAATTGTGGCCATGGAAACCATTTCCTACACCCTTTCCTGCCCTGTAGGCAATTTTTTACGACACTCGAAATCTGTTTTTTCTGTTTTGTATTTTTGTTTTTACATGCTGCGTTAAGTCTCCAACCGCTCAGAATCAAAATAATCCAGACTCCAACAAAGTTTACTCAGGATCTCAGCTTGGCTGAGAAAGCGGGGGGAAGGGGGGATGAGTGGAAAAAGGACTTGGATGAATCATGTGAAAGGAAAATCCTCTTCGGTTTTCCACGCCGCGGGATAAGGGGGAGGGCAATGTCGAAATAAACTTTTTTTGCGTTCTGCTTAGACATCCACAGTGAAAAGGTCTTTCTCTGTCTTTCAACGTCTTACTCTGGTAGCACACCTTTCTGATACCCACACCTGTTTATCTTACCTGCTTACTGCTTACTCATGGTCCCTCCGCCCAAAAAAAAACATTTGTTTTCCTCATAGAGGTTTAATGTAGGGCTGGGTCATGTGGAAGAGTAGACAGTACAGAAATGCAGTTCTGCACTATTCTCAGCCCGAGTGGCTGAAATTCACCAAAAGTTACCAAAATCACCTCCTGATGTGCTCAATGCCATGGAAATAGCTGTGATTGCAATGCAGTGTTTATGTGTTTTTTTCTACGATCCTGTGTTTAAAGTCTGCTACATACCCAGGTGTTTCACTGTTTAATACCTCCCACTCCAAGACCCCTATTTTTAATGCATTTTAAAGTTGGCACTTTGACCCCTTGAACGGTTTTGAAACTAAGACTGAGCAGCAGGTGTGATGATGTACGCTGTCGGCTGGCTAAAGTGCTTTTGTTTAACTGTAAAATGCAAAAGGTCAAGAAGGGAGTATAAAAATGTCACTGCAATCATCAGACAAATGATTTATGAAAAAATGGCTCTACCGTGTGGCGTGTTTTCCCAAACAAATTCCTGCTCCAAGCTCCATTATAACAACTGTTGCATCCATTGTCTCTATCAGACATAAAACTAATGAATCTATGCTGGTTTAAATACACTGTGTAAAGGTGCCACGTGTGTGTAACCCAAGCCTTAATGCATACTGTTTATGTAGTTTCTTTTTATTTTAATGCAGGAAAATCTGGAATCTTCCTGTCTTACAGTAACGCAATAGGTCCTGCAATGCAATATTAAAACTCATCAACGTGCCCCACAAACAACCCGGCATACAGAATGCGAGGTCGTCCACCTTTAAATACCTAACAAATAAATCAAACGAAACACAACTTGCAGAAAACGTCAAAGTCAAAAAAAAAAAGAACAAAAGGTTGCCCGAGGCATATTTTCCTTTGCCGGACCAGGTGATGTCACTATGCGACTCGCTGGATCTCTCGGTAAAAAGGAAGAAGAAAAAAGAAAAAATGGGAGAGAGAGAACTTAGTAAAACAACAGCTTGGGGAGGGGAAAAGTTGAGCGAGGCAAGACGCTGACTGTAACTTTTTTCTGCTTGAAGACTGACTCAAGGGAAGTAATTACCAACACGCAGTGGATTACAACTTCAATAGATATTCATTTTCTGTTCTGGGAAATACATCTTGGATTAATGTGGACGTATCGTGCCCGGATTAATCAATTCGTATAGGTATGGATATTGCTTTCATGAGTTATACCACCGAGGGTGGTACGGTGTAAAATATTACTGCGCTGATTGGTTAGACGGGTATGGATGTTCTGAAAGATGTTTAATAACTTTGCTCAAAGTTCTTATATCCTCGCACTGAATAAACATAATTAGCTGCAGTTTAATGATCACTGCTTGGGTGTATTAGTTTCAACGAGTCGTTCATTTTTTCTGCATCTCATAGAGAATATAAGCGTTATGATGCATTGCATATGTGGGCTGTTTGCAGCCAGTTAACCGTGCAGAAGTACATTACTGGCAAAGATAATATCTAGTAAGCTAAAGTCCCTTATCTTTAATTTAAGTTAGATTGTTTTTAGTTTTCTGTTTTTCGAATCTTGTGACCTTGTCGGCATCAATGACGTTAAAAAGAATTACAATTAAGGAAAAAGAAAACTTTTATAGTAAGAAATAATAGCAGTAATGATTTGAAATTGACAATGGAGCCTCCCGTGGAAGTGCAAGACAAAGCGGTTGATGAGTTCGCCAGAGATGCTAGAGAAGCTGCGTATCCGTTTCGCCTTCGTTCGACTAAAAGATTCATTCAAAAACGTTTGATTCGTTCACTTGGAACACGTTCCTCTTAAATATTTGGGATGGAGGATATTTTGGATATTTCCCCTTGGTTTTAAATGGTTTAAAAATTGTATCACAATTTAAATTCATTATTTTGTAAAAGTTGAATTACTTCTACATAATAAACATGATGTGCATGTGCTACACATTTTAAATAACGTTATATTGTCCTTAAGGTTAAATAAGTTATATTAGCCTTGCTAACTCATTCATAGTTAATACATAATTATACCAGAGGGTGGCGATGGAGAGGATATCTCGGTCCTGACCTGAATGATCTAGTTCATGTACTGAACGAATAATCGCTCAGAGAACTGACTGAACGATTAATTATAGAAAGAACGAACGAATGAATCAGTGCAGTTGCCTCAATGCATGATTTTCCATCTTTAGAAGATACCATTGCTAGGGTACGCAACTGATGCAACTCAGGGAACTGTAATTTTTGTTTCCACATTTGAGTTTTTTTCATTCTGTTGAAACAGTTAATCAGTTGTGACATAACCTGAAAACAAAACAGTCTCCAGTTTGTCTTTTATCTGCATTGGTACTGTATTCTTTAAAATATGTTCTTCTCGAAGGAAGATGATTTAAAATAGATTTTAAAGCAATTAGACTAACCATTAGGGAGTAGCTGCTTTGACATTAAAGCGACGTAATGTTTCAAACCTAGCCTACGTTAACTCTAGAAACCTTTTTTTTTCTAAATGTGTTTTCGACACTGAGTGTTGAAGTCTAGTGTTTTGGCAACCTCCAATTCAATTTTAAGATTGAAGGGTATCAGGTGAATGAAAGGTTAGATCCAAGTCTGTGTATATTGCAGTCCTGAATTCAGCGGGATTCGATTTCCAAAATAGAAAGTTTGCAATTTAAATAACTTGCTGAACGTGTTGAATGTAGTAAAACCGTCTTTTGTAAGGAGTCCTTAATAAAATAAGTATGTTTGACTTTATGACCGTGTGTGAATTCCATGATATGGAGGTCTAATGAAAACTGGAAGAGTTAAATCTTAAATTGCAGTTTGACATCATTTAATTCTTTGTGCATGGTATGTTAAGAACCACAACTTGTTTGTTGTTTTTCAATTGTTCGCACACACAGCGTGGGGTCATCTGGCAACTGTGGGGTTTGAGCTGATCCAGCCAATGGGGACAGGCCTAGTGTTATCAGCGCACTGCAGAGGCCGAGGGGGAGAAGATGACATCCAATCGTAAATGACAAATGCAACTGCACTGGGAGACATTTAATCAGTGAAAAATTGGATGGTGACTGAAAGGAGTCTAGGGGGTGCGGGGGGAGGGGGGCAGGGGGCGGTGCACACAAAATGCAGATTCTGTTCCTGTTACAGGGTCGGAAGGATTTGGAACAAAGCCAATTTGCATGCAGAAATTGGATTAATACTTAGGAATCATTTCGATTTTATTTTTTGCTGGACATAGACATCACCGGGCTGCTCTAATAATACAGTGACAGTCTCCACAATGGCCCAATACACTAATAGGACTAGTAGTTTATTGCTCACAGTTAGTCCAGCATTCCTGCATTTGCTTTAGATGGATATTAGACGGGCAGCGTAATATGTAATATGCATACAGCTGTTTTAATCAGGATTAACGCGAACATGCTTTTTCTGGGGTTTGACCCTGTAGCCCTCTAGTGGCAGGTCACTATAATGACTGTTTTTAGTAGGTGTTTGTAGATGTTTAGTAGATGTTTGGAAGCCTTCTGCTCTCCACGTTGTTTGAGTGGCCAGTTGTGCGTTTGGGGTCAGGTATGCATCTGGACAGGTTTATGCAAGGATTCCAGTAAATTATCCTTGATTGAGAAGCACTTTGGGACTCATGTTAATGGGAATAGTGCATAAATCAAAAGTATTATCACTCTTCTAAGCACCCTGATGTGTATTTGCATGAGGAGGGCTGCTGAGAGCCTTGGTTCGTTCCACCCTAGAAGTGTACCGGTGGGACGCAGCTGGACAAAAGTGGTGGGGAGAATGATGATGGTGGGTAGTGATGATGAAGATGAAGAGGTCAGGCGATTTAAAGTGGTTTCCATAAAAATCACGGGCAACAAATTCATATGAAATAAGCAAGGAATAATTTATGGGTCTCCTTGATGTGGGATAAATCTTCCATAAGAAAGCTGAAGATTTTAAACCATTCTGTGTGTGCATCTGCATCAGCATGCTAAGTAAGCCCACAGACATGCATATCTGAGACCTGGTCTTAGTCCCAAAGACTTTCTGTGGGTCATGGAAAATTTGTCTGATTTTGGTTGTGGTCTCATATCAGTAAAGTGAAATGAGGCAGTTTGTATTCACTGACTTGTTAGCACCTCATCTTTACACTAGAGCCCAGCTGAATTTGCCAAATATAAGGAGCTCCATAAAGGGTTTTTTTCCCATTGATTTGTGTATGAGGGGCACATGTGCCTCTGCTGGAAAACATTTGCTGTTCTACTGGTCTGCTTCAGCTCTCCCTCCTTCTGTCTTTCCTACAGGTAGGAGCCGAACGTCACGCCAGCAGAGGGAACCATGTGGGCCTCTGTGTTGTTTTGCCTGATGTGGTTGACCATCACTCCATGCAGTGGCGGTCCACACCTACCCAGCAAAGGTAAGGTTCACAGCACACACTGATCTCCCAGTGAAGGAAGAGTATTGAGTAGTGGCTGCAGAATGGTGTTTAATTGTAGCAGTGTTTGCCAGTCCGGTCCTTGGGGACTCACAGAAAGTCCACATTTTTGCTACCGGGAGCTGGGAGGGAGCAAAAACATGGACTGACTGTTAGTCCCTGAGGACCGGATTGGGAAACACTGGTCTTTAGCATAAAGAAGTGGTTGGTCTTTGTGGCAGTGGTCAGTACAGTATCATATTTTGGCAGCTCCTGGATGATATTTTGGAGTATATTTCAGACCGAATGTACAGATTTGATTATACAGTTAGCAATAAGATTCAGTTTCTGCTTATTTTCCAAATCTCTGCAGAGTGATTCTCCTGTAAGGAGATATTTCTCTGGAAATAAATGTTTAATGGCTATTAGCTGTCTGGACATTTTAGATGAGGTTATGTTCTAGTTTTAACCACAGAAGTATTTTGTGAGTTTCTTGGATCTAGGGCAGCACAGTGGCTCAGTGGTCGAAACTGTGGCCTCGCGCCTTGGTTTGGTTCCCAGCTCTGGCCACGTGTGTGGAGTTTGCATGTTCTCCCTGAGTTTCCACAAGTTTCTGCTGGGTGTTCCCATTTCCATCCACGATGAAAAAATTGCCCGTGATGTGTGAGTCAGTGTGTCCCCTGTCAATCCATCAGGGGTTTCCCCAACCCTCTGCCCCCTGCTTACTGGGATCAGCTCCAGCCCTACACTGGATAATTATCATATGGAAAACTAATAAATCAGTTATGGAGAGAATTACAGAATTAGCATTTATTTCACCGCTGCAAGTTCTAATGCATTTTCTGAATCTCATTGTTTTTGCCTGAATCACAAATGCGATAATCCTGTTTGGCATTCAGCTTATTCGAATAAGGTCTGCTCCAAAGCTATCATTGTAATTAAACTTTTGTAACAGCCTGTTAAAATGTTGTGATGATCTTCTCCAGCCTTGGATCACTGCGGTGTATAACTGGCCAGGCCTGTAAGCACAGTTGGTGAGTGGTGAGATTTTACTACCTTGGTCTGTGGTCTGTGGCTCTGGGATGCTGGCTGGGCCCGTATTCCTCCTGGGAAATCCCTTAGTGTGCACTTTGAGGTCCAGTTCTGACTTGCACATCCAAGCCTACAGCAAAGTCATGGAACAGTCTGCAGAATGAAAGAAGTTATCTTCTGCCACATCTTCTGCTGCTCCAGTGGCCTTAAATTACCTTATGACTATATGCTCTTCGAAGCATGTCTCACATTTTGCTGGGATTTGATCAGTGTATGCAACTTTAGGCTAATTCCATTGCCTCTAGCTCAGTAATGGAGGGAGATGTCTCGTCGACGCGGATGAAGGCATGACGTTTTGGAGACATCTGGAGACCAGCAAGCAAATTAATGGCTGCTTGAAACTGCTCTGTGAGAGACTGCACCTTCGAATGGCGAGACCCTGTCTGGGGGTTCCGTGTCACTTTCACTGGCGTTCTTCCAGCGCACATTTACTGCACTGCTTCCTTGGCAGTTATCAGATGGCTCTGATATCAGAGTTGGAAAGTGGGTTGTGTCTTCTTTATCAGCGCAAACCAGCCAGTCCTACCCAAGATTGATCACGCCACTGGGATGGTGTCCGCTTCGATGCACCATGATGACGCCGCCTTATTCTCCCAGGTGCTTTTTCATTCACTTCTCATCTGAGTACTGCATACAGATGCACTGCATACAGATGTGCCGCTTTATGCAGACGATACAAGGAGGCTCACAAACACAGTTGTTAGACTCAAGGTTGCTCAATTTCCTTTTAGCCTTTGGGCAAAATTATTGACTTTCTCCTAAATCTCCCCAAGGGCTTTTTTCCATTTGGTTGAAAACTTCAACATGAGACCTTTTTTGACAGTAACGTCTTATTACCCAGCATGCAACGCTTCTCTGAGTATTTTACTACTCCCACTGAGGCCCAGTCATCTCTGCAATAAAGCTTCTGACAGCAAAGCAGGTTTCTCTCATTAGCCAGGAATGTGGTGTTATAATCTTGATTAGGCCGAGATAAAGTGCTACCTTTTCCTCCTCTGAGTTGCTCTCACAGACTCCCTCGACCTTCGCCATGATACTCCTTCTCTGCCAGGGCATTTTCTGCACAATGTGTTGCCAGCGAGAGCTGCTTCTGCTCACAGAGGGCAGACACGGTGTCTCCCGTGGCTTTGGAGCGAGACTCTCCATTGTCTGTGGGACAGAATGCTGGAAATGAAGTGCTCAGTCCCAGCTAGCCGTCCCCTGAGAGAGCAGGCTGGTGGCCTCTTCTAACTAGCATTGGTGGACTCAGGTGCCTCTGAGGTCATCGGGGCAGACTGACAGACAATCTGGGGAGCTGTTTTCTGATCACCAGACCTTTGGGTGTCCCGGGTCGAACCAGGTCCCTCTTCCTTTCCATGTAACTTTCTGTTAGGCTGCTGTCTGTCTTTAAGCCCCAGACACATCCCCTTGCTCCAGCTCGGAATGAATTCTTAATTCTTCACATTTGAACATAGATTTTATAACTAGAAACTTTTTGGGCTGTTTGGCCTACTTGAAATGATCTTATGGTGGCAACAAGAAAGCTAATTTTTTTTTTGTGTCAGGAAACTTTGGCGCCCCTGGGGGGTGCCGAGCTTGTGGTGGGGGGCTCTTGACGTGGCAGCCCGGGTCGGGCTCTTTTGAAGTAAGGCTGTGCGGCGCTGTGAGCGAACCTTCAGTTTTCACCTATCATGTTCCCGGAGGAGTGATGTAATCACATATTGTCACCTCTAAGGGCAGTGTTGAGACTCTCCTTGAAGGACTTGCATATGCTAATTTTCATTATAATCATTTTGCATTTCTTGTTTTACATAGTAATTAATTAATACTTATGGGTAGGTCAGTGGGTACCAGAGTGGATTCTTAATACTGCACTCCAGAGATATGGATTTGAATCTGTGTGTGTGTGTGTGTGTGTGTGTGTGTGTGTGTGTGTGTGTGTATTTTGCATGCTCTCCATATTTGTCTGGGTTTCTTTTCTTCAGGATGCACTGGCTTGCTCTCACACTTCAAACATTTCTTGGCAGATGAATTGCTCTTGATTGTGATAGTTTTTCCTGTGCTAGCTTGTCTGGAGCTGGATATGTCCTCTGCTCTCGTCTCCCTGCAGCCCCGAGCTGGATAAGCAGTTATGGGAGATGAATAGAAAATTAGCAGCATATGCACTGTACAGAATAATTTGTGAAAATCTGCATTGTTTAAAAAACAAGAAGTTGAAGCAAAATGTTTACAGACTTTCCTCTAGAATTCCTGTTTCCATCCTCTCCCATAATGAAGTTTATTAAAATCATTACCGCTTTATCCCCTATTTTGTGCAGAATTGGTTGGATTTTTTTTTGAGAATTATAGGCATACAATGCCCATGGTCACTTTGGCTGCCGTGTAAATGCATGCAGAAGTGTTTCGCAGTTTCGGCAGCATCCTGTGATGTTTCTTATCAGACTTTCCCTGAATCAATGTCTACCTAATGCAGGAGAGGCTGGCAGCCAACAAAAAATCCAATAATAAAGGGAAGTGAAAAGCTGTAAATGTTACCATCAAGTTTTGCCTGCCAGAGGCCTCAAATGGGCCCTCAGGTGGGCCCTCAGATGGGCCTTGAGGTGGGCCCTCAGATGGGCCTTGAGGTGGGCCCTCAGATGGGCCTTGAGGTAGGCCCTCAGGTGGGCCCTCAGATGGGCCTTGAGGTGGGCCCTCAGATGGGCCTTGAGGTAGGCCCTCAGGTGGGCCCTCAGATGGGCCTTGAGGTGGGCCCTCAGATGGGCCCTGTCAGCTATAAGCAGCTTAGTCCCACACTATTGGATAGGTGCTTTAAAGGCTGGTTTATTGTAGCCAGACTCCTGCCTCGTTTTCTTGTCAGCGCAGCGGCGCCTTCTAGCTCTGAGTTTGCCATTGCTAGCATGTTTTAATGCAAGGATTTCATGGTATAAGTTTATTTGACTGTTTGTTTGTGATTGATACTATTTGGAGGAGATTAGCAAAAATTGACAGGGCTGCTATGTAGGGCTAGCAGACATTCAGAACCTCTAATCGATGTAATCTTACCCATGTCAGTTACTTGTTTTTTTTTAAAGAAATTCTGCTAATACTCTTTCCAGTGTGTGTTCATGTACTGTCGCCTTAAAAACATACTGCTGCGCGGAAGTCTGCCTGAGACAAAGAAAAAGGAAAAAAATTGGTTATAATGATCATACTCTTATAGTGATCAATTTCACCCAGACAAACGTGATCACTATAATCCACTGGAATTTATTTTATTTGCAAGAAATGCAAACTATTTATTTCCTACTTTTTTAGGGAACTTGCTTTCTACATTAAAACTAAAATGTGACCTTTTTTTATGACGTTTTCATTTCAAGCAATTTGTAAAAGCCATTTCAGCTGTTCAAAATATTAAATTAATAACCATAAGTGGTTCATTTGTGTGTTTCTTTCAGTTATTTTAAAATCATAAAGAATACAGTCTTTCGTTAGAAAAAATATCCCAGGTTTAATAGTTGAGCATATTTACAGTACAAACCTTGTCATAAATATGTAAAAGTAAAAAAAATAAATAAATAAAAACTAACAAACCGGTCATTAATCATTAATCAAGGTAAAATGTTGGTTTGAGGTAAGTCTTTGTGTTGTGATGCAGCCAGATTGTCTGTGTATGAAAATGGTGTGTATGGTTCGGCACCCTATCCTGAGTTATTCCCTGCCCTGGGGTGGGCTGGTGCCCCGTCCTGAGTTATTCCCTGCCCTGGGGTGGGCTGGTGCCCCGTCCTGAGTTATTCCCTGCCCTGGGGTGGGCTGGTGCCCCACCCTGAGTTATTCCCTGCCCTGGGGTGGGCTGGTGCCCCGTCCTGCCTTGCACCCATTGGTTCTGGGATAGGCTCCAGACCCCCATAGCCCTGTTTTTCTTAGTGGTGGATGAAGCTGTTAGTTAACCTTTGCTAAATTTCAGTCTTGGTTAATAGTGGCAGCGTGTATGTGTGGGGGGATTTCCAATCCCTGTTTATCAGCACGAGAGCTTTTTAAATTAAAGGAGGCCATTTTGCTCAGAAATCGAATTTGCATATGTTCGTATCTCATTTGCATACGTAAGTATCTCATTTGCATATTTAAGTGTCACTATTGAATTGTTACCCGGACAGAATCTGAAGACTGTGCCTTTATTACACTCATAGGATAATACCTTTCCATATTTAGCCTGCAAGGGCTGCCCTCTGGTGGACCCCATTTACCCCCTGCCCCAACTAAAGACTCCCTTAATGTTCCTGTAGGACACTTTCATTTGTCACTCCCGAACTGATTGTCACCCATGTGTCCCTGTGCAGGAGTACCCTGCCCCTCCCTACAGGTAGCAGACTGGAAATTCCCCCAGAGAGCTCGGCACAACATCACAGGTAACGTACCATGGGTTGGGGGAGGTGCCCCGCGCAGCAGAGCAGATGGTGGGATGACCTTTATAGATGGGATGGCTTTCATCATCCACACAAGCAGGATTTTTTATCAGTCTTCCATAATTATCTGGAAAGGACTTTGGATACTTGACCAACAAGGCTCTGAATTTGAGATATACAGCCAATGTTTTTAGTTTCCAGTAGCTGTCCACCCTGTGACAGACGGCCTGAGGTCATACGCTGCCTTCATATTGCTTTTTATTCCTGGTTAGCATGGTTTGGGTTGTTGGTTAGCACCTTTATATAAAGATGGTGGATTTGGGTTAGAGGCAGAGCGAGGAGGCGGTGATTCCCGGTCCTCGGCCACCAGTCCACCATCTGCACCTGGTAAAAACCCGGTAAGGTTCCGTGGTCTCCGGTGACTGACTGTCGGGGTGTTTCTCCCATAGGTTTCAATCTGGTTCGGCAGTTCTCCCTGCTGAAGATGACGGAGGTGAAGAGGATCCGGAACCCAGGTGGACCCGTCATTCTGAAGCTGGGCAAGGTTCCACTCATTCTACCCACGGAGTAAGACCTGTTCTCGCCTTGTGTCCTTCTCTTTGGTTTTCAGAGGATAAAAGTAGTATGATAAAATGCATTTAGAGTACCAGTCAAAAGTCTGGCCAAAACTACTGAAAAGCATTTGTTTTTCAACCAGATAATGACCCAAAGCACCTCGGGATTATGTAAGTGCTGTATGATCTTGTGAATAAGGACAGACCTGGCCCATACCTGTCAAGTTTTGGATTTGAAAATAAGGGAAATTTTCCGGCACCCACCGCGAGCCATCCCACCACCCCAACCAAGCTCCAGTATCCCTTACATTTTAAAACAGGTGTACAAGAAATCTAAAATAACCACTTGTCATTTACATTTTATTTTCATTACACATTTTCTTTTAATTTCTCATGTTCAGTCATGTGGCTCTCTGGCATTCACTAATGACTTATTATACAGATTTGTTGCAGACTTTGTATCCTTGTTGAAGTCGTCACAGAAGGTGAAAGTAACGTTGTTTTCCGCACACAGCATTGCCATTTTATCCTCCGCATTTATGACCTGGTTAATGTAAATGACCTGCAGACTACTGCAGGTGGCAGGTCTCACGAGGCTACTGGCAGTTCAGTTTGGAGAGGCAGAAGAATTTTTTTTTAAATGATATTATAATACGGGAGATTTACGGGAAAATACTAATACGGGGGGACGGCGGGAAAGAGGGGTAAAATACGGTAGTTTCCCAGCCAAAACGGGAGACTTGACAGCTATGACCTGGCCCCTACAATCCCCCCCCACCTAAACCCTATAGAGCTGATCTGGGATGAGCTGGATCGAAGAATAAGAGCAAGGTAGCCAACCAGTGCTTAGAACTTGTGGAAACTGCTTCAGGACTATTGGAGAAGCTTTCCAGGTGGCTACATCTGGGAGATGATTGGAAGAGTGCCAAGAGTCTGCAATGCTCTCCTCGAAATAAAGGGGGCTATTTTTAAGAGTCAAAAATTTTCAGAGGTTGAACTCTTGAACTTTTTTCTTGGTCATTGCAATATATAATATTATATTACTTCATTGCCTCAAGGCCAAACAGCTAAAATAGAGCCACATGCATTAGCTGCAGGTGTGTCCAAACTTTTGACTGTTACTGTATATTAGAATTAAATTATTTAATGTATTTACTTTTTTCAGTACAAGTTATGAAACCTTTTGATATATGATGCTTATTTTATGTGCTGTTATAATATGTGCTGTAAGAATTTATGGCATGTACTCATAAAACAAATGTGGTAGATTGGTGATAATGTTATAATTTATGTAAATGTAATTTGTCGCTGTTTTGTGAAAGGAATAATAATTGCATTATGGTCAAATGAGCTGATTAGCTGTGCTCCTTGTCGGGGTCCTTGACTTGTGCTCAGTAATTCTCCCAAACAGACATGCTCATGAGCTTGTCGGCCCTGTTTGGATTGAGGATTTTCCGTCGTTGAAGCACAGATGTAGACGTGGGCTGTTATGAGCGCCACCAGGGAACCAGACCCGGCTGTTCATCGTTTCCTGCGGTGTTGGCTGAGTAAAGGTCATGGTCTGTCCTCAAGCACGTTTAAGGTGAAGGGGACATGGCCTCTTTTAATGAAATTAAATTTTGCAACTTTTCCTGTCTGCTGTCATTCGTCGCATTTCTGCGACGTGCAAACTAGTTTGGAGTGGCAGACATTTTCCCCCAAAACTGCACCCTTGCTATCGAACAGACAGAATAGCAGCTGTTTTGTTCTCCACTCAGTTTGGAAAAGTTTGGGCCTCTATCCAGGATCTTGTTTTGTTCAGAGAAACAGAAAAAATGTTTAGTGTGAATCAGTCCCAATATTCTTTCAGCCAGTTTCCTTTGTCTGGTTTGCTCCAGAGTCGGATCTGAATATGCAGAGTAAAGCATACCTTGTTTTACAGCAGGGATTAGGGGAGCAGGCTATTGGTCTGTGGATGATTTTGGTGTTTCCGTGACTATAGGTAGGTGGGTAGGTAGGTAGACAGACAGATCCAACTTTGTTGTCGCTTCTCAACAAAGTACAAGGACGCAGACAACAAAATTCAGTGGTGGAAAGGTCAGGTCCAGATAGTACAAATCCAGACCAAGATTTTGTTTCAATGAAGCAGTTCAGTACTCTCTGAATGCTGGTTGGTTGAAACAAAATCTTGGTCTGGATTTGTGCTTTCTGAACCCGAACTGGGTAAAAGTGCTAGAAACAGCTGTAGAGAATAGCATGTGTGCCCTGTAGTGGGTTGGAACCCTGTCCTGGGTAGTTCCCTGTCTTGCATCCATATATTCCAGGATAGGGTCTGGACTGATGTGACCCTGCATAGGACAAGTGGGTAACATGGATGAATGGAGTTTTTACATCAGTTTGAATGTATCAATACAGTATATTTAAATAACTATGTAGTAGGGGATATACAGCCCATAGTTATGAGGGCGTTTGGAGGAACTGATATCGCCTAAGTCCATTCCGTCTTCAAATCCTTGCAATGTTGGTTATTTGGTTCATAAAAAAAGTTGAAAATAAAATGCAATAGTTCTGTTGGTAAGAGAGACATGATCTATGACCTCATCCCTGCCTAGGTGTGATGTGCAACTCGGAAGAGCAGGCGGACGTATCCCAACCTGCCCTGTACCTGCCCTGTACCTGCCCTGCCTGACACTGACACGCCTCATAAAGTGTTATTTCGTTTCCTGTGTTTACACTCTGCCTGTAGCTGCCAGAGAGCTGCCCGAGGCAGAACCCTTCACATGCGCTGTCTGGGACCAAATTCGGCTTCGGAATATTTACGGATTCTAATTGAAGTGAAATCAGACGATTCTATCACAGCGCTGTACAAAAGTTATGTCAAAATAAAACTAAACAAAACAAAAGCTATATTCAGTGATTATAACCGGTTCCTGAAGGCCGGTGTGTAAAGTTCATCTGTCTTTTAACCCCTAACATTCAGCATGGGCACAGTGGGCCCGGCGCAGCAGGGTGGGGTTCACCCAGGGGGGGGGGGGGGGGGCAGTCCATTGCAGGTACTGCAGGAAGGCCACATGTCACAGGAAGAACATGCAAACTTGACCCCCCCAAACCCCCTCCATGGGGCACCGTGAGGAGTACAATGATGACCAGTCACAGAACAATTACCTAATAATAATTTAATGCAAATCAATAACTTCTTGAATAAAAGCCCGAATTAAATCTGAGTTTTTCAAAGGCAGTCAGACAAGTGGACCTGACTCAGTGCCCCCCCCCCCCCCATTTCTGAGTATAATGTACAATGATTTTTATGTGCTGCAAGGCAAATGGATAACAGACAGGTGCATGTAACAAGGTTCAATAAAACAGAGAGCGGAGAATGAGAAAGAACTTTCACTGAAGCGGTCATGCTTTTAGATGTGTAGTTTGAGTAAAATATCAGGAAAATACACGGCAAATCCACTCCCCGGCCGTGGGGGACGGAAGAGGCCTGTCCCTGATTGTATCCAGCTGGTCCTGTTTATTCCTAGAGTGCAGTTAGTCCATGGAAAGCCAGCTGGACTTAGTGGGATCTGTTAGAACAGGGTTTGTCGTCATTTGGCTGGGGGGGTGGATCAGAGAGCCGGCCCAGGCCCTGCACTGCCGTCTGCATCGCAGCCCATGTCTGTATGCATGTCAGTGAGTTTATTCGCCCAGGTTTATATACATGCTTGTGTTTGTAGGCATGTTTGTAGGCATGTGTGGGACACGTGTGTGGACCGAGCTGTTCTGTCACAGCACCAGCATTGGAGGTTCGAGTCTTAGTTGCATGTCGCTTTATATAAAAGATTCTGCTATATAAAAAAAAGGAAATGTACAATAAAAGTTTGTCGCTTTGTGCAAGTCAACAGCCTTTCCTCCAGCAGACACCCAGGCAGGCCTGCAGGCCATCAAAGTATCGGTGGAATGTGAGAGTTTAGGTCACGGCAGATTACTGCTGGGGACCCGGCAGGGGGGTGAGCGACAGACGGCCTGTCTAATGGGGGGGCATGAGGGAGGGCGGGAGGGAGTGAGGAGCAGGAAAAGACACAGGAAAGAGAAGATACCAGTGGAGAGACTGGAATCCCCTCATTAATGGAGGAGTCGCTGAATACCCCCCCACACACATACACACAAACACACACCCTGCCACTAACCATTTCTCTGTTTCATGCATTACACGGGTCTCCATCTGCTTTTTCCATTCAGACTTGGACCTCTTGCTGTTTAAAATCCCTTCCCTCGTATTTTTTCCCCTCTCCCACCCAAGAGATGAGCCACACCCCAGCCCCGCACCCAGTGTTCAGTGTGGAGGATTCAGCATGGAGGATTACCGGACCCAGTCGTCATTCTGTGTCTGACACGGTTTTAGGCCGCTGGTGTCACCTGGGTCGGTATCGCCCTTCACGCTGTGTGTGAGAGCATGTGGTACCGCGTCGGTATCGCCCTTCACGCTGTTTATGAGAGCATGCGGTACCGCGTCGGTATCGCCCTTCACGCTGTGTGAGAGCATGTGGTAC